CGTTTTGCTTCTCCCTTACCCCGCTGGCATTATCCGTTCTAGTACCATGTGCTGCTGTTTAAACTTTGAGGATTTCAGGGGATGGGGCAGACCCGTCTGCGCGCCAATGCCCCAGGGGCTGAGGGGACACGCAGAGCAAGCGCAGGCACGGCTTCCGACAGAATCTCGGTTGTCAGTTTGTGAGAAAATGAGCACTCGGCTCTGTGGGAAAGGTCAAACGTTTGAACTTCTGCTTTATTCATCGGTGGCGCAGTACTTGTCACTAGGAGTCACTAACGGTAATAGAGGCAAACTGAACTACAAAATTACCGGATAGAGGCAAACTGAACCACAAAATCACAGGCCATGTACAGACATGTTCATAATCTGCTAGTCACATACACCAATAGAATGTTAAATTTCCTGATAATGTTGGTGCAATAGCATCCTGATGTCCTTAGGCATGACATAATGTTCTAAACTGTTCAGAAATACTGGTAACAATGGAAAACATTACTAATTGCTTTAATGATGAGTACATTCTTGACTTTGAGGTCAGCAGATATATTTGAACATGCAAATGTGTCTGATTGAGGAACTATTCAGGAATTCTGGTGTGACAACTACATTGTGCAGGCGCTTGCCTCTGTAGGACTAGATGCCTAGGTGGGCCCGTTCAGAAATGATTGGACACCATTGTTCCAATTTTTCTGCAGCTGATGAGAACACGGGTATTTCCTCACTGATAGCCTCCAGCAACTTCTCAGTCCAGTTAAGAATTCATCTTCTAAAAGTAACAGCAGCACTAAACAGTGACCTGGCTTGGAAGTCAGGTACTTTCTGAGAAAGGGGTTCAGATTTGATTTTTAACACAAAGACACATATAAGCAACCGTTTTATCCCAGAACTTATTTGGATTTTCCCAACGCTTCTCAAAGCAGAGTCTCACTGGAGTTGGTGGGGCTTATCCCCTAGGACTGAAGCCTTCAGGTGATGAGACTGAGACCTTTCTCTGGTGTGAATCCTTGAAGGGAGGGATGTATGTGTGTGTGAATGCCTCAGAGGAGGGTTGTGCATGCCTGAATAATGTCTTGGGGGTTGTATGTCTGTCTGTGTGAATTGGGGGGGGGGTGCCTCTTTTCCTTTTTACAGAACTTACACATCTATGCCAGTCATGCAAAATGTCAGCTGGGAAGGGCAATTTTTATATCTGCCTTTTTCAACCCTCCAGCTGTGTCAGATGACAACTCGCATCATCACCCCATGGTCAGCATGGCCTTTCCACATTCTGGCTGGGGATGATGGGACCTGTTGTCCAGCAAACTTGGAGGTGCCAAGTTGGAGAAGGCTCTTTTAAATCGAATGGGGTGTTGTAGATGAGTCAGTCCCTCTCTGCACCCACCACTTACCCTGTCATATCCCCCCCAACCCCCCCCCACAAAACTTCCTGTCCCAGACCAGCCCATAAGGGACTGCAGTTCACCTGAGGATGATAAGGCATTTGGGGGAAGATAACGCATGTGGGGGAGGGGGGGCTCTGCTTGATGAAACCCACTTCCAAACAGGGGCCAGTCACATGCCTTGAGGGAAACCACAAGCAAGGCAGGCATGTAAGAAGTCCCTGAACCCGTGGCCATCAAGGCACCTCGGGAAGGGTGCTGTACAGTTGGAAAAGTGCAGGAAGGGGCAACTAAAATAGTCAAGGAGATGCAAGAAAGGACTCCACTGGGCCCTTTCTTGTATTATGTGCAAGGGAGAAAAAATGTGTCCCTATCTACCTTCCTCACAGCAGACACCATTTGGCTTTCTGGTGTGTGCCTTTTTTCTAAGCTGAGCTGTCCCAGCTGCTGTGATCTGGCCTCACAGGGGTGCTGCTGCAGCTCCTTGACCATTTTAGTTGCCCCTTCTGTTGACACAGATATAGAAAATGACGGAGTAGGAGAGAAAGCATATGAGTGCTAGACACTGTAAGCCTCTTTTGTCTAAGCAGGAAAGGACCACAACAAGACATGAATTCCAAATGCAAACCATGGATTTTAGGAAAGACAATTTTAATAAACTCAGAACAGCGATCAGCAAGGCCCCATGGCAAGTGACTCTAATGAGGAGTCCTAGATGGGTGTGATTTTTTAAAAAAGAAATTCTAAAGGCACAATTCCAAACAGTTCCAAATGACCTAGGGAGGTTATGGGGTCTCTCACACAAGAGGCATTCAAGATGAAACTGGATAGCCATCTGAGATGGCCAACTTGATGTCCTGTATTGAGCAAGGGGGTTGGACCCAGTGGCCTTCTTGGCCCTTTCCAATTCTGCTATTCTCCTCAAATCCAGCCTTTAGAGCAGCAAAGGAGCAATCACTATGCAAGCCATTGTGTTGTGTAGGAATCCCTAAGAAGCACCTTATAGGTTTGAATTGTCAGGTTAGATTTTCTCTCCACAGGCAGCAAATATCCTCCAGCAAATATCTTGACCTGAAAGACTGACCTGGCTTTACTAGCTAAGGCTCAGCACCTTGAACTGTGTTTGTATACAAGCTGAAAGTGAATGTATGGTTTAAGACTGGTAAAATCTTTCTAGAAGCTCAGGTGACAGCGGTGGTAAGGAGTGCCTTCCTTCAGCTTCAGCTGATACATCAGCTGCGTCCTTTCCTGGAGAACTACTGCCTGGCAACAGTGACATACGCACTGGTAACTTCCCGATTAGATTTCTGTAATGCGCTCTACGTGGGGCTACCCTTGAAGACGGTCCGGATACTTCAATTGGTGCAGAATAGAGCTGCCAGGTTGATGACGGGGACTGGGCGTTGTTCTCATATAACCCCAGTTCTCCGTCAGCTCCACTGGCTCCCGATTGAAGTCCGGGCCCAATTCAAGGTGTTGGTGATGACCTATAAAGCCCTAAATGGCTTGGGTCCTGGTTACCTGAAGGAGCGCTTACATCCATATATGCTCAGCCGCCCCCTGAGATCGGCGGGAGAGGCCCTTCTCCGGGAGACCTCCGTGAAAGAAGTTAGGAGGGTGGTTATTCGGAGGAGGGCTTTCTCAGCGGTGGCGCCTAAGTTATGAAATGCGCTCCCCAGAGAGGTCCGCCTGGCGCCGTCGTTATTTGTTTTTCGGCGCCAGGCGAAGACCTTTTTATTTAAGCAGCATTTTAAATGTTAATATTATTGAATTTTATCTGGCCAGGGCATCTTATTTTATATTGTATATTTGTATTTTATTTTAATGTATATATTTTAAAATGTTATTTATGATGTTTTAATTTATTGTTGCAAGCCGCCCCGAGGCTTCGGCGAATGGAGTGGCATAAAAATGTTTTAATAAATAAATAAATAAATAAATATAGTAATTAATTAATTAATAAATATAGTAAAAACCAATATTAAAACACCTCTAATCAACAGTTAAAGTAACAGGAAAATAAACAGCTTTTGACCTGGCACTGAAATGTATAATTATTGTGTTGTAAGCCGCCCCGAGGTTTCGGCAAGGGATGGCATAGAAATGTAATAATAATAATAATAATAATAATAATAATAATAATAATAATAATAATAATGATGTATCAGTGCCAGGCACACCTCCCTGGAGAGTTGGTTCCATAAAATGGGTGCCACTATCAAAAAGGCCCATCCCCTTTTAATCACATTCCTCACTTCATTTAAAGGTGGCTCTCAGAGAAGGACCTCTGCTGAAGATCTTAGGGTCCAGGTAGGTATATATGGCAAGAGGTGTTCCTTAGGATATCCAGGTTCTTAGCAACTTAGGGATTTATAGGTTAGTATGAGCACCTTAAAGTGGGCCTGGACTTCCATCGGTAGCCAGTGTGATTGATAAGATAACAGGGTTTCTGTGCTCGTATCAACCCGTCCCAGTCAACAGACAGGCAGCCTTGTTCTGCACCTGAAGCTGGACTCTCCTAGTCATTGGAATTTCTGAGTGCTCTTATCTCCACTTTGATCAAGGCCATCTGGTTCCATTCGCATCCCCAGGAGTTTTAGCATGTGACAAACATGCACAATATCAAATAGCACCCAAAAGCTCCATACTGCACCCCGAAGCACTAAAACAACAAGGCTAGCCCTACTCTACTCTTTATCTGTATGTAAGTGTGCTACAATGGAGTTTCAGTCCAGGGTTGGGGTTGTCATGAGGCAGAGTCCCTCCCTCAAGTAAACACACTGCTTCAGAGTTCCTTTTCTTAATGCTTTATTGTTATACATCCTTTTTATCAAACAGTAAAGTGCTGAACACTTCCTGAGCCCTCCCCTCAATCTTCCTCCCGTTTAAGAGACATTCCCCATGGCCAGCTCAGAGGGGGGTGCTGGCTTCCCCACCTGTCTCTGCCCTTCCCGCAGCCCCAACAACTGAATCTCCCCCCTGGGTTGCCTCCTAGCAACCGGCAACACCTCAGGGAGGAGCCTCCACATCTGACAGACTGCACAGCTCTTGGTGCACACTCTGGGCAGACCCTGAACCCACCTCCCATTGGCAGATCGGAGCTCTCATCATCTTCCACCCCGGCTCCCCGCTCCCATCCTGCTGGGCTGTCTCTTCATTCCCATGGGATGGTTGGTTGCCACCCCCACCCCACTGGGGCAACCATGCTTGAACTGTACAGACATTCCCTGGCATTAATCTGATACTAAAATTTGCTGACATTCCAAAACTGCTTTGCCTTCACTGTCTGAGCTCCAATTCCCATCAAATCTGTCAACAGACCACAACCCTTCTGACCACATTTCCCTGTGTGTGCACACAACAGGGGTTTCTGGTTCTCACACCAGACCAGGGCTAGACAAGAGACAAAAGAGGAGGTGGGTAGAGACCGGTTCTCCCCTGCAGAGGAGGGCAGGATGCGCTCCAATGGAGTGAAGTTCAGGGAACCCAGGTTCAACTTGGATGCCAGGAAGTACTTCCTGACAGTTAGGACACCGAGGGTGTGGAATGGGCTTCCACAGGTGGCTGAGGTCCCATCAGTGAGGAAGTTTAAGGATAGGCTGGACATACACATGGTAGGCATGTCATGAGCAGAGCTGGCTGGAGCCGGGGGTCAGACTAGATGACTAGATGTCCCCTTCTGACTCACTCTGTTTTTATGTTTCTATCTTCCTTGGATCCAGGAATTTTCAATCCTCCCCAACCATTTCCCCAAGTTTGTGGGGTGACAGCAACTTTCCCAGCTGTTAGCCATCACACTGAGATTGTCCAGGGCTGGATTTCCTCTTCTGTTATCCTTGGAAATGGCTGAAGAGATAACCCACGATGTTCCCTTTGGCTGTCAGGATGTGACTCTCTTACTACAAAGAAAATGATGCTTCGTGCTGCATCTCGAAGAGCTTGCTGAAGCATCTTCATTCAGATAAGCACAGTCACCTCCATCTCCAATGACCTGCAAACTGCAACACAAGCAGATGCTAAGCAAGGGTTGTGTCCATTGCTGTTAGAAGTAACTAAACAGGGCTAATGCAGCTCAGTATGTGTTGAAACAGGCAGTAATAGGAAAGCTTCATCCTGATTGCTGAGCCATGGGTATCCGGGAGGAATGAACCCTTGAGCAGGATTGTGGTCCCAAGCATGTATATAGCCTCAACATTATTAGCCGCTGCTAGTGTTATCCTCCCTAAATTTGCCCAATCACCTTTTAAATATAGCAGCCATCAATGCGTCTTTCGGCAGCATATTCCCAAATTTGACTATGAATGGCATGACAAAGTATTTCCTTTCATCTGTCCTGCATCTGCCACCAATCAGCTTGGATGTCCCCATGTTTCTAATATTACTGGAGAGCGTTTATCCCTATTCACTTTGTCTTTACCATGTATAATTTTGTACATTTCTGTCATCCTTCCCCTTCCCCTTACTCATCTCTTTTCGAAGATAAACGGTTCCAGATATCATTTTGGAACAGTTTCATCCCCTTTATTCCCCCCTTTTTATTTATTTATTTTTTTATTTGCAAAGATGGATGCACAAAGCTGCCTTATGTTGAATAGACAAACCTTTGGGGCCCACTGGCATATTTGGGCTGGTCACATCACATGGCTGGTCACAAAAGACAAACAACCTGCTTAAATGTCAAAATACAAAGCGGGGATGGAGGGGCAAAGCTGCAACACACTAATCAGCTCTTCTGAACTCCTAGCTTTCAGTGCCAACAGAAACCTATTTCACAGAAGGCAAACTCTTTTTCTCTCTACACCATTTCCTGCCAGCCAACTCTTTCCCCACTATTTCTTTGTCTCACATTCAATCATCATTCATGCACTCTGTCTCTGAACTGGTTAATGAACCCACAATTTGCCATGGCACATTCCAGATGGTTTACAGCTGTTTAGTCCCCCATTCTGCATGATGAGAGATTATTACATGACACTCAAACCTAGACACCTAAATTAATCTAGTTAATCATGGGTTAAACAACCCATAGTTAAACTACACTTAGTAGTTAGGCTATCTATGGATTGTTTAACCCATAATAGACCCATACTGTCTGAGTTCCAATATCATTTAGCAATTCCTGATTAGCTCAGTTGGGGGTTGAATATTTTAAACAGTTCTGGAATGCACATGGTATTGCAATGTGACAAAATATGCTTTAAATTTACCATTGTTAGAGTGAACAGTCCCCTCTGTCTCACAGACATATACATACACCACGCCCCCATCCATCTATCCTCTATCCATTCACACCCACAAGTGCCTCATGAATACTTATATTTAGTTATATAGAAATGCTTCTTCTGCTCACTGCAAGCATACAAACACATGCACTTTTTCTTTGGATTTCTTCAAAATACCCCCAAACTTTTATCTTTCCCCCCTGGCTTTTTCCACACACATGCAGTGCCCAGACATTCAGACACACAAACCCTCCCCAACTCCCAAGTTTCTTCCTAGCAGCTTTTCCACTCCCTTGCTTGCTTCCCGCGTTTGCACCTCCACCCCAAGTGTGCACTCCTCTGTTCTTTCCAGCTGTTCCCACTACCTTCTGGAGCTCATGTCCTACTTAGAGCATGATTCATCTGAGGAAGAAAAGAAAAAGAGCCAGTACTTCAAGCCCCAGTCAGAGCCAGGAGAGGAAGTGGAGGCTTGAGTTGATAGCCTTTCCCTGGAACATTTAAAAGAGCTATCTGGTATTTTGCAAGGTATTCCTGAACTTCCCCAAGTATAGGAATCAGACCCCAAGACAATTTATTCCTTGGAACAGCACAAACATTAACAGTGGAATTTCAAATGAAGACACAGCATGGGGCCTCCCTTAAAAGTGATCTGCTGACCTGATTAAGCAGCTCTGCTGATTTATGATCAGCTATAAGTTAGCCCAGCTGGAGCCAGCTTGCTGCTGCAAACAACAGTGTTTCAACTCTATGCTCTGCCTTGCTGTATTGGACCTGACACATTCCTGGACTTATGACTACCTACCTGGGCCACCTTCCTGGATACCCGGACTGATGTGGATGCATGATATGGTAAATCTTCTAGACTGAACTATAGACTGTTTTGATCTCATCTCTGCCTCTTCCCATTAGTTATATTGAAACACATTAAAAACTCTGGAGTGGGCTGGTTTTTCTCTTTGTTATTTCTGAGAATATCACAGCCTTGTCCAGGGTTCTTGCTGACCTAGTTTTTTGTAGCTCTTCTGTCTTCATCGCCTACCATCCATTGGCAGAATAGAGACTGTGTTTCATGATAACTAGTCCTTGATAACTGGTCCCTTGGGACCAGTTTGCTTGGGTTGATATGGCAGTAACTATCCTGCAGATTCAGCTAAATCAACCACAGGCTGTACTGACTCTACCATCTCCTTCTCCAAAATGAATAGCACCCTCAAAAAATGATGGGATTCTGAATATTTCCTGGCTTTCTTGGCATACTGCCAGTTGTATTTGCAGCTCCAACCAGAAGACTTCCCAACTAGCCAAGTAAGGGAAGTCTTCATGATCGCTTGCTTGCCAGCCAAGTGGCCATAAGGGTTATGCCCTATCCCCTCTAGAGTGGCCTTCTCTTGACTGATTTTCCAGAATTTTTGGAGGCAATGTGGACTTTTTTGCATAACACAGCCCAAAAAGGGGCTACCAACTGCCACAATGAGTGCCTTTGCTAAGGGACGTGAAGAGTGAGCATATATGCCAGTAGTTTCTGCTTGCTGGCTCAGGAATTGTGCTGGAATGAACCTGCAATTCTGGGAAAGGCAGGCAAGTGACATCCTAGAGGGGCTGGCCTGCACTGATGCCCCCTGCCCTGTCCCCATGGCTTTGCAAGCCCTTGATATGAGAGTGCTTACAGCCTGCTGAGTGATTGTAAAACCCACCACCAAGCTTTGGTCTCTAGAGCAGTATAGCCATCTGTGGACCAGCACAGGACCACAGAATCTGGATCTCAGCTATCTGCCACACTGGAGTTGCGGGAAACAACACTGGCCCAAAAGGCAGAGGAGCAAAACTGATGACAGAGGTTCTGCTTATACTGTGGTACTGCAGGGCACTTTGCCAGAAGCCTCCTCTCCAAGACAACAAGAAGTTCATTGCTGGAAAACTACCAACCCCAGGCCTAGATGGGCTCCCTGGTCTGGGGTGGCAGCCCTTGATCCCCTTGACTGAAAGCCACCAAAAGGGGCCACAATAGCAGAACTTGCAGGTAGGGACAGCGGTAGACTCCAGGGCCACTGCAAATTTTATGGATGCTGAGTTTGCCTCCTGCCATCCAATCCCCACATGCTTCCTAAATATGCCATATCCAGCACAGGCCCCCATGGGCATATGCTCCATTTATGTCCTATCACACACACGGAATAGTGCCTTTGACCTCCTGGGCTCTTCCTGAGTTTCCCGAAATACAGGAATCCAAGCCCGAGATAATTCACCTGATGGTGTAGGATCAAGTGCAAGCAATGGACGTCCACACAGAAAGTACAGCATGGAGGCCCCCCATAAAAGCAATGTGCTGACCTGATCAACCAGCTCTGTTGATTTACAACCAGCTGGCTATACATTAGTCTAGTTGGAGCTGAATGGCTGCTGCAAAGAGCACTTCAAGTCTGTGCTTTGCCTTACTATACAGGTCCTAACAGATTTAGAGACATTTGGCTAACTGCCTGGACTGCTTTCCCAGACACCCCTGACTGGCCTTGATGCTTGGTATGGTGGACCTCATGGCCTGGTTGTTTAGCTCAGAAGTGTTGACCGTGCATCTATTTCATGTGAGATCTGCTTCTTTGGGACAGAATTATAATAGAAACTAAGGATGTAGGAGGAATCCACTTTGGGAGTAGAAATCAGCCCCATTCCCTCAGCATGGCTTTCCGGATGACTTGCTTAAGACCATGAATCCAGCTTGGCACTGAGTGTTCATGCAGGGAGCCTGTGTGAACACATAAACACTATGCAAGCAGCATCCCTCTTCCATGCACATGACCTGCACCCTTTCTTTGTACTGCATGTGCTGTGGGAAAGGGTTGCTGGTTGTGCAGAGTTCTGTGAGCATTTGTGGACTTCCTCTTGGGTCACTTCCCAAAGCCATTGCTGAGCACAAGAAGAAGCCTGATGAAGAAGACAGCCACATCCTAAAAGGTGGCTAAAATGACTAGGTGGTCATTTTTGTCTGCCATAGGAGACTTTCCTTCTTTTCTCTTCTTTCTTTTTCTTTTCAGTGTTCATTGCTGAAGACCAAAAAAAGAATAAGACTCACCTTGAATTGTCTCCACTTGTCCATTTCCAGCTCTGACCTGGGGCTCTCCTGAGGCCAATCCAAAAGGAATCTTTGCCTTTGTAACGCATCACAAACTCCTTTAAAGACCAGAAAAGAAGAATGTTAGAAAATAACTCATGGATTTAATAGAATTTTACTTTCTTAGATTCTCCACCCAATGTGATCTTCAGCAGGTCATCATGCCTGGAGTTTGAAATGTGCGATGTACATACATTTAAGAAATAAGTATCACAAATCTTTGCCAATATCCATTTGACATCCATTTAAAAAGGGATCCAGGGGGAACCAGAGAATTACAGGTCAGTTAGCTTAACATCTGTTCTGGGCAGACTGCTTTAAAGCATTATTAAAAATAGAATCAGTACACACATACAGGGATAAGCCCTGCTGAAAAAAAAATAGCATGGCTTCTGCAAGGAGAAGTCTTGTCTCACCAACCTATTTGAGTTCTTTGAGAGTGCCAATAAGCACTCAGGCAGAGGAAATCCTACAGACATAGTTTACCTGGATGGCCAAAAGACATTTGACAAACTCTGCCACCAAAGGATCCTGAGCAAACTAAGCCAGTCATGGAATAAAAAAGGGAGGGTCCTCTTATGGATCACTAACTAAAGGACAGAAGACAGAGGGTGGGAATAAATAGCATTTTCTCCCAGTGGAAAGAGCTAGCCAGTGGAGTCCCACAGGCTTCTGTATTAGGGCCGATGTTTTTCAACCTATTCATAAATAATCTGGAATTAGGAGTAAGTAGTGAAGCGGCCAAGGTTGCTGATGACACTATACTTTTAAGGGTGGTTAAAACCAAAAGGGATCATAAGGAGCTCCAAAGGGATCTCTCCATGCTCAAAGAATAGGCATCAAAATGGCAAATGCAGTTCAACATTAGGAAGTGTAGAGTTAATACATGTTGGAACAAAAGATACTAACTTCAAGTATACACTGATGGGATGTGAACTAGCAGTGACCAAGCAAGAAAGGGATCTTGGAGTAGTGATGGACAGCTTGATGAAAATGTCAGCCAAGTGCTCAGCTGCTGCAAAGGTGCAATCCATGCTAGGCATAATTAGGAAGTAGGAACAGAATCCTACTTCCCTTATATAGACCATGGTATGACTGAACTTGGAATATTATGTTCAGTCCTAGTCACCTTACTTGAAAAAGGACATTATTAAGTTGGAAAAAGTACAGCAAAGAAGAACAAAAATGCTCAGAGGGCTGGAGCAGGTCCCCTGTGAGGAGCATCTACACAACGGGGACTGTTCAGCTGAGAAAAAAGAGAGACATGACAGAGGCCTGTAAAATATTGCATGATGTACAGTAAGTAGAGAGGGAGACATTTCTCTCCCATCACTGCCGAACTCGGGTTCATCCCATGAGACTGATTGGTATGAGGCTTAGGACAAATAAAAGAAAATATTTCTTCGAACAGCATATAGTTAAAATGAAGGAATTCACTGCCACACAAAGTGTTGATGGCCGCCAATCTGGATGGCTCTGAAGAGGGATTGGAGAGATTCATGAGGGAGGCAGCTATCAGTGGCCACTAGCCTTGAGGGCTGTGTGCTGCCTCCTTTATCAGAGGTGCCATGCCTGGATACACCAGTAATGGGAGAACTTGGGCAGGATGAGGTTTGCACCCATCCTGCTTGGAAGATTCTGTGGGCAGCTGGTGTGCCACTGTGTATATGAACCACTGGATTAGATGGACCTTTGGTCTGATCCAGTGTGGCTTATATGCTGTGTGAATCTCTTTCGACCAAAGAGCCAAATTCTCCTTGGGAGAAGTTCTCGGTTGAGCTGAAGGCAAAAAGCATAGGGCAAAGGTACCGACATGTTCTGCCCTGAAATACTTGTTTCCACTAACTAAACCTTAGCACAGGTACTGAAGCCTTCTAGAATACAGTGAGGGGAACTACAGAAAGGATCGGTTGTTGAGCATAAGAGGCTGGGACCAGTGTAATAGGTCATTAGAGAACTGTGAAGGGCCAAATTTAGCCTTGATCTTGAGGGTCTATTGCCCTGTGCTAAAGATTTTCAGGTAAGTAACAAAGAGTTTTGGATCTATTTATGTCCAGCAGGAATCCCTTTGGCTTTCTCATATTATCTAAATGCCCAGCATTACCACAATTTAGGCATATAAGAGAAATCCTCAAAGAACACAAATTAATTCAGATTTCTCCAAGTCGGAGTCATGAAATCTGCAGTCAACTGACTTTCTCAGGTCATGTGATTTCTGCCAGGCTTCTAGACTGGCATTTTCATTTTGTGCATTTTTGTGCCAAATGAATTGCAGAAAATAACACTAAAAAAACCACTGACCCAAAATTCAGATTTCCCTTTGATAGAATTACTTATAAAAATATGCATTCTCATGGGAATTGGACATCTTGGGACAATTTTGTGCACAAATTTGGACTCATCATTTGTACAAAATTTGAAACTGTGCAAATAGGCTGACAACAGACCAAAAATGGGCTGATAACAGACCAAGCATGAAACAAAAATCTGCAAGGTTTGAACAGAGCAGATATTGGGAGGTTTATAGATCCTTATTGATATTATAATAAAACAAAGGACTGGCCTATGCAGCCAAATACCTATGAATCTCTCACCATTTCTGGATTGTCAATAACAGCTAAAGATGCACGAAATGAACTGCAAAAATCTTGGCTGGAAGTCCAATTCTGCTCATGTTTTGAGTAGTAGTAACATTTTTCCTGGTATCCGATCCAATCAGGTGGGCAGCATGTAGGACCACTCCTACAACAGATTAACCCTGTAACTAAGAAAAGCACAGAAGATTAGACACAGTATCTGACCAAACCCCCTTCTGCTCTCAAGTGTGGGCAAAAACTGTAGGCATCAGGCTGAATTAAAGTGCCCCTTTGCTTTCTGTTAGTAGGCTCCAGAAAAAAACACCCAAAGGAATAAGAGTCTAGGTACAGCTGGGATAAACCTTTTCTAAATCTGTCCCTCCAGCAACTGTGGATTTGCTCTTGAGCTAGGCCTGGTCCTGCAACCTGAGCCAAACCAAGACTTCTGCAACACTCGTGGGCCCCTGGCCAAGCAAGTGGCTGCCTACCCCAAAGAACGGCTGCATGATGCGGAAGAGAAGTGCTGTGAGGAGTTTTGCCAGGCATCATTCTTAATGCTCCACTTGCTTACCTAATAAATGGGAGTGCTGGAGCCTTTGCTCACTTGTTTATTCCTCTGAGCAGGCCCAGTCTCCTTGTTGTTGTTGTTAGTCACAAAGTCGTGTCTGACCCACTGCGACCCCATGGACAACATTCCTCCAGGCCTTCCTGTCCTCCACCATCTCCCGGAGTCCACTCAAGTTCACACCAACTGCTTCAGTGACTCCATCCAGCCACCTCCTCCTCTGCCGTCCCCTTCTTCTCTTGCCATCTACTGTTCCCAGTATTAGACTCTTCTCCAGGGAGTCCTTCCTTCTCATTAGGTGGCCAAGGTATCTGAGTTTCATCTTCAGGATCTGGCCTTCTAAAGAGCAGTCAGGGTTGATCTCCTCTAGGACTGACTGGTTTGATTGCCTTGCAGTCCAGGGGACTCACAAGAGTCTCCTCCAGCACCACAGTTCAAAGGCCTCAATTCTTCGGCGCTCAGCCTTCCTTACGGTCCAACTTTCACAGCCATACATTGCAACTGGGAAAAACATAGCCTTGACTATACGCACTTTTGTTCGCAGGGTGATGTCTCTGCTTTTTAGGATGCTGTCTAGATTTGCCATAGCTTTCCTCCCTAGGAGCAAGCGTCTTTTAATTTCTTGGCTGCAGTCCCCATCCGCGGTGATCTTGGAGTCCAGGAAAATAAAATCTGTCACTACCTCCATTTCTCCCCCATCTATTTGCCAGGAAGTGAAAGGACCGGATGCTATTATTTTAGTTTTCTTAATGTTGAGTTTCAAGCCAACTTTTGCGCTGTCCTCCTTCACCCACATCAAGAGGCTCTTTAGTTCCTCTTCACTTTCTGCCATGAGAGTGGTATCATCTGCATATCTGAGGTTGTTGCTATATCTCCCAGCAATCTTAATTCCAACTGGTGATTCATCTAGCTCTGCCTTTCTCATGATGTGCTCTGCACATAAGTTAAATAGACAGGGCGACAGTATACAGCCTTGCCAAACTCCTTTCTCAATTTTGAGCCAATCAGTGGTTCCATACCCAGTTCTCACTGTTGCTTCTTGACCCACATATAGGTTTCTCAAGAGACAAATAAGATGGTCTGATACTCCCATCTCTTTAAGAACTTGCCACAATGTTCTTTGTGTACTTTGAACATTCTTTGGCATTACCCTTCTTTGGGATCGAAATGTAAACTGACCTTTTCCAATCCTGTGGCCACTGTTGAGTTTTCCAAATTTGCTCGCATATTGAGTGTAGCACTTTTACTGCATCGTCTTTTAGGATTTTGAATAGCTCAACTGGAATACTGTCACCTCCACTAGCTTTGTTATTGCTCAGACTTCCTAAGGCCCATTTGACTCCACATTCCAGGATGTCTGGCTTGAGGTCAGTGACCACCCCATCATGGTTATCAGGGATGTTAAGCTCTTTCTTGTATAGTTCTTCTGTGTAATCTTGCTACCTCTTCTTAATCTCTTCTGCCTCTGTTAGGTCCCTGCTATTTTGGTCCTTTATCATGCCCATCTTTGCATGAAATTTTCCCTTCATATCTCCAATTTTCTTGAAGAGATCTCTGGTCCTCCCTATTCTATTGTTTTCTTCTATTTCTTTGCACTGTTCATTTAAGAAGGCATTCTTATCTCTTCTAGCTGTTCTCTGGAATTCTTCATTCAATTGTTTGTTTCTTTCTCTTTCTCCCTTGCCTTTCGCTTGCCTTCTTTCCTCAGCTATTTGTAAAGCTTCCTCAGACAGCCATTTTGCTTTCTTGCATTTCTTTTTCTTTGGGATGGTTTTAGTTGCTGCCTCTTGTACAATGTTGCGAACCTCTGTCCATAGTTCTTCAGGCACTCTATCAGATCTAATTCCTTAAATCTATTGGCCACCTCTACTGTATATTCATCAGGGATATGATTTAGGTCATACCTGAGTGGCCTGGTGCTTTTCCCTACTTTCTTCAACTTAAGCCTAAATTTTGCGACCAGAAGCTCATGATCTGAGCCACAGTCAGCTCCTGGTCTAGTTTTTACTGACTGTATAGAGCTTCTCCATCTTTGGCTGAAGAGCACATAGTCAATCTGATTTTTGTGTTGACCGTCTGGTGATGCCAGTCTCCTTACCTTGGAGGAAATTAAAAGCAGGCTCGCTTGCAAAAAGGGTTTGAATGAACAGCAATACCTGAATTTGGGGCATGGTTATGCATGAGTGTTCAGCTTCCCCCAGTTTGCTGAGTGTGCCTGGCACTCCTTGGCTCACAGTCTTTCTAGACTGCTCTTGCTTTTTACATGATCCAAGTGGCCAGATTCTGGGAGGTGTGTGGTCCTTTTTGGCATCACGGGTTTGCACCAGGCTAGAGAAAGGTACCCGGCTGTGGGAGGGGGATAGGGCTTCTTGCTCTTTTTGTGTTTAAAAGCCATCGCATCTTGGGGCATAATCATGGATTGAAGTTGACTGTACAGAAGTTATTTTGTAAGATGTTGCTTTTCATGTAACCAGAGCAAAGCGGCACTTGCTGAACCAAAGGCACAGGAGTTCTGATGAACTTCACTGCCTTTATCTCCCAGGACTAGCTGGCCTTTGGCCCACGTGGGGTTCCCTTCCTGTTGCCTCCCTAGAATCTTTCTGCTTGAACCTTTTACAAATCAGGGTTTCCTTAGGAGGCACGTTCCTTTGAAGACACACATACTTGGAGCATGAGGCTGATGCTCATGACATGCGACATCATGAAAAAGCACCAAATGGTTTATTGTGGAATGCATTAAGTATTATTGTATGTTCATTGCCAGGGAAACGGAGAAAAGTTCACAGGATTTTCTGTCCCTGGTGCTGCAACAGCTTTGAGTACTATTATTCAGCTTGATTGCAGTTGTGGGGTGGGCGGGGGAAAAACCCGCTCTGTCTTGGCAGCAAAGTCACTTGGGGCAGCCCTGAACATGTTTGTATTGACTGGTGGAATGGGAAAGGGTAGCTGAGATCATACAGAAAGGTAGGTGGTGTAGGGAAAGAACTGGAGCTATAGAGGGATATGTGGGCAGAGAAACCTGTTCAGGATTGCGTCAGATTTACTGTGTGATCCTAAACATGTTTATTCAAAACTATTGAGCTCAATGGGATTTGCTTCCTGCTAAGTGCAGGACTGAAGTCTTACTCCTTAGTAAAGGCATTCAGAGCTGTGATGTATCTTATCCACCCTCAATACAATCCTAGCATTTGTGTTGAAGAGAAACCTGGGGATTGATACTTTTGGTAATTTAAAAAAGTTGACAGAATAGGCATGCTGGTCCATGAGAAATAAAAGCATGATGCCACAATTTAACTTGCCATCTTTAGAATTTAAATTACAGTCATTGTTCTAATTATGCATATATTTATCTGTGTACAACTGTGCAGTTTTTTGTCCTATGGCTCTGAGCCTCACATCTTTTCAGTACCAAGCACTACCCTGTCCCCTCACCATATATTTACTGTGATATAATTCAAGTTTCAGCTGCACTACTCTCAGCTACACAAGGGAACTGTCGCCGAGAAGGCCACCCCAGTGTGTGTGCCGGGTGTTTCCAGCCTCTTGTTTCAGAAGATGCTATGGCTCACCATCACTGATTCTGTGCTGAATCTGGATAATGGTCCTTAGCAGGGCTATGGGACCCTGGGAAGAGTTTGGCCCAAGTGCTGGGACTAGTCACTGCAACAGAGGACTGGTTACAGCAAAGCTTTGCCAAGCACATTGCAATGACCAAAGACCAGGCAACGTCCACGTGTGAGACTCTAACCTGGACATACAAAACATACCAACAAATGAACAGGAAATTTTCAAGGAAACCACATCAAAATTCAGGCTACATACCAACTCCAGTAATAATGGTGGTGATGAAGAAGAAAATGATGAAGAAAATTTTAACCTTCTTCCCTGATAGACATCTCCAATTGTTGTTTTCTGCTTCAGCAGAAGTCCTCGCGTTCTGATTTTTTCTCCTCCTCCTCCTCCTCCCTAGGAAGGCATCAGTTCAGCATTGGTTAGAATGCTTGCCTTTGATTGGGGAGGTCCCAGTTTACATCCCTATTCATCCAGAAAGCTCCCTCTCCACCTCAGGACAGCCACTGTGCCTCCGCCAAATCTGCCTCACAGGCTTGCTAGGAGAATAAAATGAGTGCAGACTCCCAGAAGCCGGCCTTGGAGGAAAGGCGAGATAAAAACATATGCATAAAATAGGACGAGCCAACCTTCCCTGCCACTACCTGGCCCAGAAGTGCCTTCCTCAGTGGACCCACTCCATGCACCTCACCCAGCCTTGCACTCAGCTATCACTGTGCAAAGGGGCATTTCTAGGCACCCACACACCTTTTTTCAGGCGTGTGGATTTTTCCATTGGGCTTAATTCTAGACTCTTTTCTAAGCCTATCTGGCATTTGCAGGGCGGGGGAGGGGGGACAGCTGGGGAAGCACAATATCCTGGGAGGGAAGATCTAACCCTTCTTTCTCCAGATGGATCACTCTGAAATTCTCCCTGGTTTTGGGGGGTGGGGGGACAACCCTCCCATTAGCACTGGAGGAATGGTACACGTAAATGTCATGGAGAAGCATTGCAGCAAGTGAGGAGAAGAAGGGGTTAATCCTTTCCTCTCCAGTTTCAGCCCCCCCCCCCACTACCTATCTCCTGGATACTAAGCTGGAAGAAAACTCCATCCCTTTGATACCAATGGACACTTAGGGGTCTGGGGAATAGAGCTGCGGCCATGGGAAATAGCCATGAGGCTGAAGACCCATGGGTCCCAGCCTAGTGACCCTTTGTACCAGCTTCATGCTGGTGGTTCTTCCACCTAATGAAAGGCAGACTGTGCATCATTCAGGAGCATATCAACTCATGAATTAAAGTCTTCCTGCAGTAGAAAACACTGGCAAAAAGTGGCTTGACGGAGGGCGCCTGAGTGAAATGTGCCTGCTGAAGACTTCCAGTGCTCTGCAGCTCTCTTCAGTGCAGGTCAATGTATGAAATCCAGCTCTCCCCACCTCTCCTGCTAGCGGCTTTCGATACCATCGACCATGGTATCCTTCTGGATAGGTTAGCGGGATTGGGAGTTGGAGGCACCGCTTTGTGGTGGTTCTGCTCCTACCTCAATGGCCGATTCCAGAAGGTGGTGCTGGGGGACTATGGCTCTGCGCCATGGCAGTTATGCCATGGAGTTCCGCAGGGGTCCATTTTGTCCCCCTTGCTGTTCAACATCTACATGAAACCGCTGGGAGAGGTCATCAGGAGGTGTGGGCTGCGGAATCATCAATACGCTGATGATACCCAGCTCTACCTCTCGTTCTCTACCAATCCAGGTGAGGCAGTGGCTGTGCTGAACCGGTGCCTGGCCGAGGTAATGGGCTGGATGAGGGCCAATAAACTGAAGCTCAATCCAGACAAGACGGAGGTCCTGTTGGTGGGTGGCTTGGGCTTTGGGGTGGGGGACTTGGGCCTTGTCCTAAATGGGGTTGCACTCCCTCTGAGGGACAGGGTTCGCAGCTTGGGAGTGCTCCTCGACCCTGAGCTGTCACTGGAAGCTCAGGTAACGGTGGTGGTGAGGAGCGCCTTCCTTCAGCTTTGGTTGATCCATCAGCTGCGTCCCTACCTGGAGAACGACTGCCTGGTGACAGTGACACACGCACTGGTAACTTCCCAATTAGATTTCTGTAACGCGCTCTACGTAGGGCTACCCTTGAAGTCAGTCCGGATACTTCAATTGGTGCAAAATAGAGCTGCCAGGTTGCTGGGCGTTGTTCTCATATAACCCCAGTTCTCCATCAGCTTCACTGGCTCCCTGTTGAAGTTCGGGTCTAATTCAAGGTGTTGGTTATGACCTATAAAGCCCTTAACGGCTTGGGACCTGGTCACCTAAAGGAACGCCTGCGTCCATATATGCCCTCCCACCCCCTACGATCAGCAGTGAATGCCCTTCTCCGGGAACCCTCCATGAATGAGATTAGGAGGGTGAGTACCCGGAGGAGGGCCTTCTCTGTGGTGGTGCCCTGCCTTCGGAATGCGCTCCCCAGAGAGGTCTGCCTGGCGCCGTCATTATTTGCTTTATGGCGCCTGGCGAAGACCTTTTTATTTAAAAGTTATTTTAACTGTTAATTTATTATTATAGTATTTATAGATTTTAATATATATAGCTGAGATGGTACCAGTTTTTAAATTATTAATTGTAGTTTTTATGAATGTTGTGAGCCGCCCTGAGGCTTTGCTGCGATGGGGCGGCATAGAAATGTTTTAAATAAATAAATATATAAAATGTGCCCAGAAAGACACTGCGCAGGCTTCCCCTGCTGCAGTCCTGCAGTGTCTGGGAATTCTGGGTGGGATTTTCCCTGCTTTGCATCACTTACATACATGGGCACTTCTGGGGAGGGGAGGGGGACTGCCTCTGCCTTACACCTTGTTGGCAACTTGTGCAGCTCTCTGCAAGCCCGGAAAGGAATGAAATGACTCACCCAAAAGAAGAAAAAAGCAGCCACAGGATTGCATGTAATATATATGTTTACGTTAAACATTTAAAATAACTACTGTGATTTAAACATTCAAATTTAAATTCTCTTTACCCCTCAACCCAAGCTAACTGGACAGAGAGCACCTTTCATAGAGGGCTGTCCGCTGAGAAGTCTTTAAGCAGAGCATTGTGTTCCATAATACACGACACACGGACACTCTTTCAGGACGGGAGCGTGTGCATGCAGTGACATGGCGGTGGGTGGGGACAGAGGAAGGCAGGGACTGGAGCAAGAAGACTTTCGAAATAAGTGTTGGCCTATCAGAGATGGAGGCATTTCGGTACCAAAGTGTGGAGATGGCGGAAGGAGGGGGACCTGAAAATTCAGGATTTCTCCCCTCATTTTGAAAAAGTCAGAAAAAACTGGGGTCTGTCTTCCCTCCCACACAGAAAAATGGTTTTGTCATGTCCTACCCCCACCCCCCCACCCCGGCTTTTCTTTTCCCAAGTTTCTTTCCAGGCCTTCGCATCCCTGCTTCAGCATGAAGTGTCCCACACTGACCCCGTCTGAGGATGGGCTCCTGGCACACTCAGGTCTACTTGGCTCCCTGCCCTACAGTTCCCTTACTGATCCACTCCCTTCCTGCTCACAACCCTATAGGAAGTTTTGTGCCATCCTATATTTGCCTTAACCCTGCCATGCTCCCAAGCCAAGCCACTGTTCCTATTTCCTCAAGCCCAGGAATGGGGCGAGGGGGGGGGGGCAAAATGGGGTAGAGGGTGACAAGGATGTCAGTCAAGGAAGGAAGTTCAACAAGGTGCACAAGACATTCCAAGCACCTCACGGCTGGGCTCATGGCACTCTGAGCACAGCGCCGTGAATTCAACCTTCTGGCAACAAAAGCATGTTTCCCAAATGAACTAAAAGCATAGAATGCTAACACAGCTTCAAGCCACCGCTTAGATCAGCCTCTTTGTCAGCCTGCTGAAGAAAAGGGAGAGAGTTGGCCCAAGCACTTCCTTTCTGTGTGTTCTCCCCACCATTTCCTTCCCACATGGTACAAACTGTCGCCCTGCCAGGCTTTCTTGCTTGTTTTCACCAATCTTCTTTCATTAGCTTCTCATTTTGCTATCCTTTTCCTCAAGAAGTCTACCACATATATCTAACCTGTCCCTCAGTTTTCTGTTTCTCAATAGGTTATTCCTTCCCATTATTTTTTGTCTTTGGGTGACCGGTTTTTTAAACTTCCCGTGGCCCGGGACTTTCCTGCTCGTCATTCTCCCCTCCTGCACTTGTGCCTCTGTGTGAGGGGCGTTCTGCTTCAGCAGACAAAGCTGGAGTGGAGCAAATGGTGGGCAGTATTAGCTGCTTCATGCATGATATGCACAAAGGGGGTCCCCCTGGTGCTGGTCCCACCTTTGTTACATTGCACCTCACTCCTGCCTGCCGTGTACTGCGGGCAGACATAGAATTACAGAACAGCCAAGTCCAAAGGGGGCAAGAAGGCCACTGGGTCCAACCCGCTGCAGCTGCAGGACACCGAATGAGACCATCCCACTCAGTTTCTTTTTGAATGCCTCTAGGGTGGGAGAGCCCCCCACCTCTCTAGGCAGCTGGTTCCACGGTCCTATTGCTCTGACAGTGAGGAAGCTTTTCCTGGTATCTAGCCTGAACCTGGGTCGTTGCAACTTGACTTGATTATTCTGTCTCCTACACTCTGGTATCAGCCAGAAATGATCTTGACCCTCCTCTTTGTGACTGCCTTAAGAAAATCATGTCCCCCCCCCCCCCGTGCCTCCCAGTCTTCTCTTTGTAAGGCTGAACATGCCAAGTTCTCTCAGTCTCTCCTCACAGGGCAGTGTGTCCAAACCCTCCTCTGGACCCTTTCTAATTTTTCTGCATCTTTCTTAAATCTCGGTGCCCAGATTTAAGCCTAGATGAATACTGTGCTCAGAAGAAATCTACACACAGAAAGCTCTGTGCATGTAATCATCAAAATGTAATTTATGGACATGGGGGAGGCAGGGGGCTGTGTAACGTCTGAGGGCAGAGCAAATGCTGAAACCCCACTGCCCCCACATGTAGAGCCCCCTTCAAATGAAGGAAGTGTGAAAGCAGCTATTGTCCTTCAGCAGATGGAATGTTCACTAGTATTCCACAAGATCACAATGGCTGGGCAGTACAAGTCAGAGGCCCAACTGCTGCTATTACAGTGATAGAAACATGGAAACTGAGGGGGTCAGAAAGGGTCTCCTGGGCCATCTAGTCTGACCCCCCAGTTTCATCTGGCTCTACTCACAACATGCCCACCATGTGCATGTCCAGCCTACCCTTGAGCACTCTCACTGATGGGGCTTCAACCACCTCCTGTGGAAGCCCATTCCACACCCTCGGGGTCCTAACTGTCAAAAATTATTTCCTGGCATCCAAATTGAACCTTGTGATGACCATCAGAAAATTAACTGAGACTCAAGCAACATGATGTGCCTAATGCAGTACTCCAAACGAGCAAAAGAACCCACACTAATGCATCCAGTTTATAAACTGCACATAAACTATAAAAACACAGATTAGCATTATGTTAATTAAAATATTATAAAATCTTAAATATTGATCTCTTTATATGTTTATAGATCTGCAATTTAAATACATAAATATGTGTATATAGCTATTTAACAATTTTATCATTTAAAGAATTTTAATTGTAATCAATGAATTTTATTGTTTAATATTTATCATCTAAATTTACTTACAAGTTTATAAACTGGAGGCATGGTGGTGGTGGTGGTGGGGTGATCTTGCTTCTCATCAGAAAATCCCTTAGTGTCATCTACAATAGAGATCTTCATGCATGTGCAGATCAGCTCTTGGGGTGGTTACAGCATGGCGAAGGGCAGGTCTGACACCACCACCCCTCATTTTCAGTGCATCCTTCCAGCTGGAATGGAAAGCCTAATTCCACGTGTAAATCTGAAACCTCTTCGTTGATCCAGCAGATCTTGCCTCCTTGCTCAGCAGTGGCATAATAATCTGAGGATTAACATTCTGTCTGGGGATGTGCCAAACGAATCAATTGTCTAAATCCCATTTCTGGGAAATCAAAAGCGTTTGCAAGAAGGAGACTTTTGGTTTTGATTTCACGTGTGCTATAGCTGCAAACCTATCCGAGGTATCTACCAAGAAGGCACTGACAGCTTGTCAGCAAGAAAAACCTCAGGCTTGAGGAAATGTTACAAAAACCTTTAGCTTTTAAACCTGAAGTTTTTTTATTAGGTATTATACCGGAGGACATTAGTAAACAAGAAACGTATTTGATTTTACGTGTAATCACTGCAGCGAGGATTGCATTTGCTCAGCATTGGAAAAGTGAAGAACTACCCACCGATGAACTGATTCTAAAAAAGATCCTGGACTGTGCAGAAATGGATAGATTGACTTTATCATTGAAGGAGAAGGAAGATACTTCAATCAAACTTGGAACTCTTTTTATTATTGGCTAGAGAAATGGGACTTCGCACAGATTTAAATATGTTTTTAAGTTTTCATAAATGGAAAAAGAAGGGTGTGGGGGCTGACCCAGCGAGCTCAATGTTTTTGATGATGGATGTTGTTTTTAGGTTTTTTTTAGGATTGTAATTTCAAATAAAACTTATTCAAAAAAAAGAAAGAAAAACCCCCATGTTGCTCTGAGGAACAGAAGGTAAGTTCTATGCCTTAGTAACTGAGAGTCAGGATAGACACCATTCTTTCTGGTAGAGCATGCCCCAAGTACAAAGAAGAATATTAGTCTGTTAGCTTCCCCCAACTGCTGTGCTCCAGATGTCATGGACTCCAACTTCGATCAGCTCCAGCTTGCACAGCCAATGCTCAGAATCCTGAGAGCTGCCCCCCCCCCCCGCAAACTTCTGGAGCACACCAAATGGGAGAAGCTTATGATGCCTGGCCAACCAGGCCCCTTGCTCAGTGACTTCCAGGGTTCTGTTATGGTGGGATAACAGGGGCAGGGGGATGTCTGTTTAAGCCCCTAGCAATGTATAATATTGTGGAGGTGAAGATCAGAGTTGCATACCATGAGGCAAAATTGCCTTCCGTTTTTCCTCCTGGAAAAAAGTATTCCAGACAGGTTTCTGCTCCTGTCTAGCAGTGGGGTGGAATGGCTGACAGAGAGGCCATTAGACCTTGCTGTAGATCCTGGCCTCTCCTCTCCTCCCCACTCCCCTCCAGGCCAGCTTTTTCCACCAGTGCTGTGAGGACTGCAGGTGGGACCATGGGGATGGATCCATGTAGAATTCCTCCACCTGAGGTCACGGAAGTACCTGTAGCCTCAGGAAGGGAAGTCCAAAAGCTCCTATGATCACTGGCATGGTCTTCCAGGGACCACAGGACTAGTTGCTTAGCTGCTCTCAATAAAGTAAAGATTAATTTCTGCTACAAGTTTTTGAAAGAGTACTGTGTTGATGCTTCTGGTGGGGACCTTCAAAAAGCAGGTGTGGGAAGCCTCTCACTTCACACTCACACCATTTGGACATCCTCCATAATCCCTTTGAACATGTTAAGTGCAACTCATGGGAACTGTAGTAGAAAGTTCTATAGGGAGCTAGTTTGCCTACCCCTTCTTAAAAGGTAAGTTTTTAAAAAATGCATCTGACCATCTGGCATTACCTTTATGGGAGCCCTGAGGCTACAGCAGGTTCTGGACTGTAATATTTAAAAGTGACTGGATTTAGGCCAATCCCTCAGACTTGTTCTTGGCATGCAGAATGGTCAGACTAGTGGGGGCTGGGAGTGATCTGTATTATCATCCAAAGCAGGGTGCTGGACTGGGGAAGGCTGCAGTAAGCAGAATTTTCCATGTTCCCACCTTATGCTGCTACCCACCAGCCACCCCACTTGACTTTTTAAACATCTGGGCCTCAGTCTCACTTATCTACGTCATCCACTTTTATTGTTCATCACTCAGGGGATGTGGTTAACTGGTTAGGACACAGTGCTTGGCATAATGACTAGTTAGTATCACTGGCTTAATAAGAAAGGATGCTGTCGAGAGAGATGAATCCAGCAAAGAGTAAAACAGGTCGCACCAACCTACCAGTAATGCCATACGAGGAAGAACCCATCGGAGGAACAACACGCGTGTGCTTCCGCACTGCCACATACCCGGAAACATACCCGGAAGTATAATTTCCAGAAGTCCTCCAATGACTTCCATACTATACTGTAGTACTATACTAAATGGTACAGCACTGTACTATATAGCTAATTGAGTAAGTTGGGTACCTTGGCTAACTTCGTTGGACTTTGTTGAACTTAGAACAAATTGGATTTACGAACATGCTCTCAGAACAGAACTTGTTCTTATGCAGAAACTTCCTGTATTACAGTGCACAACCAATCTGTTGCTTTTCGAATGATGTGATTTGATGCAACAGTCTGTAACCACAGTTTCCTGGAGCAGTTGTTCCTGCATTAATCACTGGGCTGTTTACCGTACATGCAGCTCCATGGTCCAGCTTTCCACAGGACAGTTGCAAAAGGATGACATCCTGTATCACAGGGCTGGGGACAATGTGCCACCCTCCCCACCTCCCTCAGCCATTGGTGGACTCCACTTTCCATGAGTCCAAGCCAGCCTGACCATAGCAGACAGAAGATGGGAACAGCAGTTCATTTCTGAAGGGCTGCAGGTTCTGTGACTCAGACAGAACAAGCTGTCTTGCAAAAAAAAAAAAAAGTATGAAATGCAAGTTAGGCTTGCCCTGTATACCTGCCCCTACCCCAATTCAGTATGTAATGGGAAACACTGTTATTCTCAGTTCCCTGTTTCAGGAACTGCACAAACTGTTCCAAAGAAACTTGTCTACTGAAATTGACCAATGCTGTTTGTCTCCAGGGCTTTCGCCTCATGCAATGTATTGAATGGGCTTCAGGTTTGGCAGGGACAGTGCCACCATGCCTCGGCTGCCCCCGATGCCAGCAGCAATGGGCAACCACTCCAATGTCCCACAGTGACCCTGATTTAGGGTCACTCTGGGGAAGGGGTGGGCCATGGGTAGCCCTCCAAATAGTCTGGCCAACAATTACCATCTTCCCAAATCAGCAGGCCCATTGGTGAGGGATGATGCAAACTGTAGGCCACAACTTCTGGAGGACCACAAGGCATTGCATAAATTAAAATTGCGGGTGGGACCCACCACAGCTCCAGGGCCCCACCAACTGCCTGCAGCTGATGCTGAGAATGTAGATTCTTCCTGCCTCCCCCTGCCCCCAAATATGTGAAATGTGTGAGAGATGGACTGGCGCCTTGAGAAGCATCAGCAAGCCTGCCCGTTTCCTGAATAGACCTTTTTCTCCTGGGTAGAACACTGTGAGTTATCTGACATTTTGGAGGCATGTGGAAGTGATATGGCATCAGGTAAGATGTGGGGATTGAGAGGGAGGAAAGCCAAGCCACCCAGTGAGTGTAATGAAAACACAAAAAGGCTCTTAGAGCTATTCAGGAAAGATTTGCAAATGGATTTGAAAGCAGTTCCAGCACTGATACGAGAAAGCTCAGTGTGAAATCAGCATTCCTGTATATACATCTTGAAATCAGCAAATGTGACAAAAAGGATCGACAATGCAGCTCCCTTCAAACTGGAAGGCTGTTGCTACTGGTACAAAGCTTTCTGTTGCAAGTGGCTGCAGCTTAGAAAAGGCCGCGATTCTCCCTCTGCAGTGAGGATTACTGTCCAGGGAGGACTGACGGGATGACTGCCCGGGCCCTTCCCTCTCCTAAGAAACTCTTCCCATGTTTCTCTATGAAAAGAGTATAACCCAAGAACTCTCCAGGACAAGGTAGAGACAAAGACCACAAAAGTGCACGCCAGAACAAACACGCCAGTTTAATGTACTCCGCTGCTCTTAAACATGAGCATCTCAAAAATATTAGCATGTGGCTCTTCCTGTGCTGGGTGGAAACCAGCTCCTTTCAAGCGTGGCAGTGTAAAATATTGCAAAGGGGGGCCAACTGATGCAAGCAGCACAGCCTGAACCCTCTAGCTTTGGAACCCCTGGTCTCCTCTCCTCCTCCCAGAACCATGGGAGCCGTCCTTGTGGTAAAGCAGCACCACAGCCATTCCCCACAGGAAAACAGCTCACTGTGGACTGAGGTTCTTTGTGTAAGTCGGATTTACACATAGGCATCCTGGCTCACCCACAATGATCAAGCTAATGTTCATCGTTCCTTTTCAATGAGAACAGACTCTCCCGCAACAAAACCTCGATATGGCACCCTAGGGAGGTTCCCTGCTAAGAAGACACCGCGGCCTCTCTCTGAGGATCTCAAAAGTCAAGGTGTGTCGCACACAAAGGGTAAAAGCAAAGGCCAGCTACTCCTAAGCATGGATGTTATCTCTAGAAGTACTCTTGCTGTACGCAGACAGTTTTGCTCTGGCAGTTGCTGGTCACTTTAAAGTCCCCTTTTCTCTACTACTTGCTCCCAGATGCTGATGCAGCAGTTACCTGATTGCTGGCTTGCCTCTGATTGCCCATTAGGATGAAGATTTATGCCTTCATCTGGTTTCCCTTGGATTGCCATCCTTCTCCCAAGATGCCGGGCAGGCTGAGTTCTTTCACGCTCCCAAGCTTCTGAGGAAAACTGCACTCTTGAATCTGTTCCGGTTGCAGGCAGAACTCCTGACCTGGAATCAGAACCAACACAATTGATTTCTGCAAATGCATATGTCAAAACAAACATGTTGGTTTTTTAAAGTGCGATAAGCTGTATTCTCTTAATGCAAGTGAAATGCGTTAAGTGGCCACCCTTCCAAGAAACAAAGAGGAAGTGGCCCCACAGAGGTTGGGTGTCTTCTCTTTTCACAGAGAAAGGAGCCCCTGCCTGTTTCTTCAGCCTGAGGAGCTGAACCCTCTCCAGGATATGATCTCAGTGACCAGATTCACATGTTATGACAACCCACCATGGTGGACTGTAGAAACCCAGCACAGGTTTGTCAGGGTGAGCTATTATTCACATGCAAGCCACCCTGAAAGTCCATGGCTTGCTCTGCATACCCATGATGGCTTCTAGTTTAACCTGAGCCTGGCAGGGCAGCTTCTTCTTGAGTTGTTGGGAACAGCATGAGAGCCACCTGGTGAGAGCAGCAAACCCCCCTCCTTCTTTTCATGATCTGGCTGGTGCTGCCACCATCCTCCCTCATCCCTTCTCAGTGTCTTCCACCCAGGAACACAGAAATGTTTTTTCTTTCTTTTCTAGTCTAGCAAACATGCACCAAACAGAGTATCTGTTGCTAAGAAATTTCTGCAAATGTTCCCCTCCATTTTACTGCTCTGCCGTGAGATTTGTGCAGTTTGCCTTCACAGTTGCTTGCCACCTCTATTCAGTCTCCTATGTAGTGCCCAGGAGTGCTTTTTAGGGTCATCTGGGCCTAGTATATGCTGCCCCTAAGACCCATCTGAGGCCCACTGCAAACATACTTGCTAGGCCCTGATATATCACCATCATGACTACAAGACTACACAAAGTTTACCAGCTCAGGTGCTAATCTGTTTACTATCCCCCCCCCACACACACACACACACAAACAAACAATTGCTGCTCTTTGGGGGGTGATCAGGCCGCAGTGGGGAACTTCAGCTAGGAGAGCCAACACCAGCTGCAGGACTGCATGCAGAGATGCATCAGAAGGTTCTCCCAGGTGGCACAGCTGTGTGTGGTGGGGGAATGATTCTGAATGGAAACTGATGGGACAATAGAGTTGATCACACACACACACATCACCCAAGCACAATGACCCCCTATGAGCAATTCTACCACAAAGGATTCAAATGCACCCAGACTTCTATGAATCCAGTCTAGAGATTCTACAGCAAAATAGCTTTTTCTGCATCAAGGGGAGATGCTGCAGATTTAGAAACCAGTTTTTCACTTGGAGAAGGTTTGTGATAATTTGCATGTGGCGTGGTGATTAGAGTATTGGATCAGGACTTGGGTGATTCGTGTTCCAGTTCTTATGTGGACATGAAGCTCAATAGATGACTTTGGTCTACTCACTGTCTCTTGTCAGGAAATCTCGGATTTGCACAACCAGGAAAAAGTGAGTTTGGATTTACAGGAAGATGCTACGCTCAGTCTCAGCAGTTATTCGCAGAACACCCAGGTACTCCTCTCTGAAAGAGAAAAAACAACAGCGCTGTCAGGTCACCAGCATACCAAAGTGGCTATGAACTCCCAGACCACGGATAGTTTTTTACAAGTCATGAGTCATGTATGCAGTTTCAAGGCAGTGCTGAGATTCTGAATGGGTGAGAAGGCGAGGACAATGGGGAATACAGAAATATTAAGAAATCATTATAGACATCAGGAAAAAACATCATGACCCATCACAGGCTTAGGTAACAGATAACAAATAAACCAATCAGGTGTTACAGAAATCTAACAGGTTTAAAATATTGTGATTTTTGCAATCGGAGACAAATTCCTTGAGACAAAGCATGAGCTGACTAGGTATTTTGAAATTGCAAAGGAAGTTCAGCTGCCCAAGACCTGCAACACTGTTTCAAAATTGTTTCTTAGGGAAACAGTTACCCAGTCTGAAAGAGGGTGGATCATTAACACAGCTTGAGGATGTTTTCCCTTTGCAGATGGGGAGGGGGAGCAAGGCTACTGCTGCCAGATTTTACATTAAAGGACAGGCAAAAGCCTATCTTTTTATTTGAGGATTTATTTGGATTTTCCCAACACTCTCAACCTAACCTACCTCACAGGGTTGTTGCTGTGAGAATAAAATGGAATGGAGAAAGATGATGGAAGTCACCTGGGGCTCCTTGCAAGGAAACAGGTGGGCTATAACTACAATGGAAACATAATATTAATTTTTTAAACCCAGTTTCATCAAGGAGGAACCACGATAGAAGTAACCAAGGGGAATGGATTTAACAAAATGTCAAAACGCATCTTCGTCCCCTGCACTCCACATTGCATTGGCAGGTCTGGGCACGTCCCGCTTCAGAGGGAAAGCTGGGCCAGTAAGAAGAAAAGGCAGAAGCCAACCCCTGGCTCTTGCCACCGCAGCGTCAAACCTCCCTCTGAACGAAGCACAGCGCGCCTTCACTTGCCCCCCGCGCAGGCGCGCTCACTGCAGCGAAACACCGCTCAGAAACCCGCTGAGTTTGCAGGGCTCGGGCGCGTGATCCGTGCTTGGGCTGCGCCCCCGCCCCCGCCCCCGCCCCCGAAGGACCCAAAGGCGCGCGGGCCTCTGTCCAGGAAACGCAGCAGTGAGCAAAAGCGCGCCCAGTGGCTGGAGCGGGCGGCGTGGACCGAACCGCGCGCCGCGCGCATTCCTTCCGCCAAGCAGCCCGCTGTGAATCCTGTCCTTTGCCTGGCCCCGAAAGGACAGGTCTACTCACCTGGCGGGGGTCTCCTCCACGGGCGGCCACGGGGTTTCGCGCCCTGCTGGCACTGGCAGGCTCTGGGTGCGATTGAGACTCGCGAAGCCTCGGGGCCTCTTTCCCGCCACTACAAGTTATCCTTAAAAAGGTTGGGCGGATGCATGGGAAGAGAATAAGGCTCGCCCTCCCCACCGCGGGTGGGCGTGCCCTGGACCGGACAGGGCTCCCGGAGCCCTGGCCCCAGTGTGAACTTCCGCGAGTACCAGGACGGGATCCGCCTCGGAAGCTCCGTGACGCAGGAGCTGCGCCTTCGAACTGGCCCGATTCGATCGATCGCAGCCTCGCTGCGCGTATCCCCGGCTAGCCCAGAGGCTGGGCAGCCCGGATCGAAGGCGTTCTCCTCATGAGCCACCCTCTGGATCGCTTGGAAAGTGGAATGAACACTGTTATGGCTGTCCCGGTGGCTATTTGCCGCGCCCTGTTATCACGGACAGTATGTAGGTACAGCAGTTGCTGGGGAATGTGGGCAGGAGGGTGCTGTTGGACTCATAGGCTGCTTGTGGGTTCCCCGTGGGCAGGGTACTAGCAAAGCTCTCCTCCGGCAGTCACATTTTATGCCTCCTTTTCTCTCGCTTTGATCCTGTTATGAGAGGGAACAGAACGCTGGCTGAATCGAGGGACCGGGGATGCTTATCAGATTTGCAGATGACACAGAACTGGATGGGATAGCTAATACCTCAGAAGGCAGAAACAAAAATTGGAGTGATCTTGATCGGTTGGAGCTCTGGGCTGAAAATAACCGAAAGAAATTTAACTTGGGGGGGGGGGGGGTTGGCAAGTTCTGCACCTGGGAATAAATGCACAGTTACAACAGGGCTGCTTGGCTCAGCAATGCCACAAGTGAGAACTGCAGTAGATCACAAGGTGAATCTTGAGTCAACAGTGTGATGTGGCTGCAAAAAAAGAAAAATGCCATTTTGGCCAGTATGAATGGGTGCATCACTTCCAAATCACATGAAGTGTGTGTTCCTCTCCTCTCTGCACTGGAGAGACCTCATCTTGAGTACTGAACCCAGTTCTGGCTTCAAACCCCAGTTTATTATCACTGAGGAGAGAGATTATCATACTTTTCAAATACTTGAAAAGCTTATCACACAGAAGAGGGCAAGGATCTGGTCTCTATCATCCCAGAGCGCAGGACATGGGAAAATGGCTGAACATGTTCTGTCTGAACATCACCATGTAACAACAACAATTCCGCCAAGCTTTTTATTGATCTTACCTCCCAACCCAGGATGAGGTGGCTGGATGGAATCACTGAAGCAGTCGGTGTGAGCTTAAGTGGACTCTGGGGGATGATGGAGTACAGGAAGGCCTGGAGGAGTGTTGTCCATGGGGTCGCGATGGGTTGGACGCGACTTCATGACATAACATAACCATCCAGCCCTCCTTTTAATCATGTTTGCTCAGTTGTTTTGCTTTTAACATTTTTTTAATTGTGAGCTTGCTTAAAAAGGTGGGGTAGGAATATATTAAATATGTCAAAGAAGGCAGGTCTGTCTTAAACTCTATACTCAACTACACAAAAACTTGGTTCCCGCTGCACATTTTTTCCCTGCTGAAATTAAAGTCCAATTGCACATGAAGTAACCATCCTCACCTGGACTCTCTTCCTGGGCTCTGCCAGTACCTGTAGATTGCTGATACCACAGATATTTGCTGATGGTGTGAGAGAAGCACACGTACACAATCCTCACCTGTTTCTGTTTTGGAATGCAGATATAGAGAGGGCATCCTTCCGATACCTGCTACTTTCCTGCAGGGAAAAGGAGCCTTTGTCCCTGAAGGTTTCTTCCTCAAGATCAGCTGGCCAGGGAAGGAGGGCAGGTGGCAGCAAAGAAGAGACAGGGATGTTTGAGAACAAGCAGATATGCAGATATGCACAACCGAAGTCTACCTTTGCAATTACAAAAAGTGCATCATGTCAGCCCCTCCAGATCGCAGGAGCTGGGTGGAGGTACTCCAGGGAAGCCAAGCAGTGGACTATGTCATTAAGCCTATGTGGTTGAGCTCAGAGGAAATGTGGTGTGACAGAGCAAGGAAGCTGACTGAGTTCAGACAGCACCGTAACCTACCATACCTAGTTACCCATGATGGGTTGTTATGTGCTATACATTGGTACCTCAGCTCACAAACTTAATCCAGTCCATTACTCTGGTCACAACCCAAATTGGTTGCAAGCCAAGTAAAATTTCCCCATAAGGTTCAACGTAAATAACCTTCTGTATTTGGAGTTCTGTAAATATTTTTTCATCACAAAAATTTGAAACAAAGTAACAAAGAACAACAAAGTACAGTACAGTGGAGAACACTAACCTAGGTGAGGGGGGAGGTTATTGTTTGGAGGGAGAGTCCAAACCATAATCATGCAATTGTTATCTTGCTCGGGGGTGGGGGGTGGGGAGATGGCCATGATCACGCTCATGCTTACAGTGGGGAGATGGTCGTGATTGTGGTTATCACCCAATGCGGAGTTCACAAACAACATTTTTCTGAAATTTCTGTTTGTGATCCAATATGGTCATGAACTGAGGCATTCATGAGCCAAGGTAGCACTGTATTGTCACTCAGTGAAAGATAATGGTCCGGGCAGGGAGATCCCAAATTAATGAAACAAACTTCTGCAATTGCTGATCCTTTAAATCTTTTCTAGTGACTAATGTACAGATATAGAAAATGGTAGGATTTATGCGGTAAATCAAATTATAACCACATCCCCTTTTTGTTGCCCCATAAATGCACTATAGTAACACTGCTACTTCATAGAAGCAATAGAGTATTTGTATCATTGGTTCCCTGTTATAATTCTTTCTTTTGGGCATGATTCAAAAGCAAAGATTAGAAGCGATCTCAAAGCAAAAACCCTATAAAGATCCTTGGGCTATAATTATTGTTTAAGGAAGCAATGGGGAAAATCAAGTCCTAGTGATTTTCAGGGAAAATCAAGTCCTAGTGAAAGCATGTGGCAGGGCATGTGGGAAAGAAATGGAACTGCCTTGTTCGTACTCATTTCTAAACCCCCAAGCCTCAGTGCCATACCCAGCACCAGTGGGAGGTAAAAAAAAAAACCATCATAGAATAATAGAGTTTGGAAGGGCCAAAAGGCCATCAAGTCCAACCCGCTGTACAATGCAGGACTCCACCTGAAGGTTCTACTAGTAGCATTCGATACCATCCACCATGGTATCCTGAATAGGCTGGCCAAGTTGGGAATCGGGGGCACTACTCTATAGAGGTTCCGCTCTTACCTGGCTGACTGATTCCAGATGGTGTTGCTGGGGGAATGTAGTTCTGCACCATGGCAATTGTGTCATGGAGTACCACAGGGCTCTATTTTATCCCCCAAGATTTTCAACATTTACATGAAGCCATAGGGAGAGGTCATCAAGGGGTTTGGGGTGAAGTGCCATCAGTATGCTGATGACACTCAGCGGTACCTCTCAACTTCATCAAACTCAGGTGAGGCGGTGATGGTCCTATACCAGTGTCTGACTGGGGTAATGGGCTGGATGAGGGCCAACAAATTGAAACTTAATCCAGAGAAAATAGGTTTTGTTGGTTGGTGGCTCTCATGGCCAGAAGGAGGATATCTGCCCTGTCTTGGATCAGGTTGCACTCCCTCGACAGGACAGAGTCCAGAGCTTGGGGGTGCTTCTAGACCCTGAGCTGTCCGTGGAGCACCAGGTTGGCTCAGTGGACAGGAGTGCCACCTATCAGCTCCAATTAATTCATCAACTTTGATCGTATCTGGACAGGCAGGACCTGGCCAATGTGCTCTACACTGGGCTGCCATTGAAAATAGTCCAGAAGTTACAGTTGGTGCAAAATAGAGCAACTAAGCTGCTGATGGGCACTGGTAGCACCAAACATATTACATCTGTCCTCTATGAATTACACCAGTTGCCCATTGAAGTCTGGGTCTGCTTCAAAATGCTTGTTTTGATGTATAACGCCCCAGATGGTTTAGGACCTGAATATCTGAAAGAATTTCTCCATCCATATAAGCCTACCCAGATGCTGAGATTGTCAACAGAGGTCCTGCTCTGGGAGCCAGCTCTGAAGGAAGCTAGGAGGATGGCTACCCGAGGCAGGGCCTTCTCAGTTGTGGC